TTTCATTTTTTTTCTTTTTCTTTTATTTCCACAACCTCATAGCGATCACAACATAAGCACATAAACATTCCTCTCCCCAACTTGAATTCAACCATCATCATAATGTGAATTCAAACTACAACTCATAGTTGAGGGTTCAAGAAAACAAAATAATCAACATCCATAAAAAATATGAAACAAACACTCATAGACAAGCATTTAGCGAAAACAACATAGATATCAACAAAAAGGGGTCAAAAGGGGTTACTAATGATCACACAGTCACAAGGTGAATTGACTATTTGGTCAAGGTAGTTATGCTCAAAATGGAACAAATAATGCTTTGATCATGTTCAAGCTTTCATACAATCAACACAAACAAAATATTAAACATAATAAAATCCATTTAAAACAAGAATTGTGGTCTCCAACATATGTGAACAATGGAAATCTACCTCACAAAAAGGGTAGGAACTAAAGTGATTCACAAATGAACAAGTATACAAAAGAATGAATGGCATAAAAATTGTAAAAAGTATAAGTATCATGAATATAATAAAGTATAGAAAGTGATAAACACATACCTCGAACGTGTACAAAATTATTACCATGCATTCACAAGTTGAAACACTCAAACTTGGAAAATCATCAAAAGCGACTTCAAGCTTTTGAACCAAAATTGAGTCCAAATAACAACAAAATAATTAATTATACTAATATTATTTACTATTTAAAGCCTAGGTGGAAGTGGGAAAAAGGAAAGCCAAGCAAAAAATTAAAAAGAATTCACTGGCTCTGCACAGTAGAGCGTGCTAAGCGGCACAGAGCGTGTTAAGCGCGCTACATCAGTTACAGAAAAACAAGATAACAACTGGTGCAACTGCTATGCAAGATCCACAATCACCTACACAATCTCAATGTACAAATTATTCAAAACATACAAACTTCCTCAAGCTAAACACGACAAGCTTGCGGAAAAACACAAATTGACATAACAAAACGAAAGGATGAAAGTGAATTAACAAGTTGACACATACATAAAAGAATACAAACAAAACATGTTTGTTTTACGTCGTATGCTCGAAGACTTTATTGTGCAAACTAGTAACCTCCTCTAGTCATTCCATGGTATTGTCACACCGCACAAATCTAAACAAAGTGTCCTAACATCCACACTTCAAACGTTACTAAAACGAGACAATTCACAACAATACGTGAAAACAAAGAAAAAAACATATGTGCACAAGTATGGGAGTAAACACAAGCATGTACAAGTAAAAATAGACAAGTTTATGTACACATTCTATACAACATATACATTAATTACAAAACTCAAAAACAAAATAATTATCGCAATACAAAAATAATAGAACTAATCCCCGGCAACCGTGCCATTTTGTTGTTGCGGTAAAGCGGCAAGAAAAAAGTAAGTTATTAATTTACAGGGTGATATTTAGGTTATATCGTACCGTGTCCATCAAGATTGGTTACTTATTCCCCGTTCGAAAATTCTCTTGTTAATGAGTTTAGAGATAAATGGGTTGAAAGTAAAAGTATCAACATAAAATAAATGTATAAAAAGGAATAACTTATCAAGCTTGCATATATACTACTTCTCACAAACTTAAACCTATCAACCAGTTATATTCAACCTACACTATTCATTAATGTCATCACGTGTCACTCACAACTTAAGTAATTTCTAACCCAAATTGAGAGGACGATTGCATCACCTCGGTAGCGATATCTCAACCACCTCAACAACACATAAGTCAACCGTGCTCGCCTGTGTCGACGATCTCTCAGAGCGACACAAACAACACAGAGGCATTAATCTCAGACACCCTAAGTGAATGTCAGCTATAAATTTATCTCTAGAATTCAGAAACTAACAGATAATCATCCTGGATAAGAATCTAAGTAGTATATGTCTATAACAACTCAAATCCCTAGCACAAAGAGAAATATCCAGGACAACAATCCATAAAGATTCGTACAACAAGTTTAATATAACGCCAAGTGCAACAAGTATACATTAGTTCAAAGAAAATACATATAGAAACCCAACCAATAGAGAATAAACAAAGAAAAAGAGAAATGAAACACAAATCTACTAGTTTTCCAGCATCGATCAAAGAGCAATCCATCCCAGATTATGCGTATGCAAGCTTCATAGTTGTTATCTAAGCTAATCCTAACAAAATTAAAGGTTGATGGAGTTGGGAGCAAAAACTTCCCCAAAACCATCACCTAAAAATGAATAAAATGAAGTTATAAAACAAATCTCAGCAGACCGCGCTAAGCAGGCCTGGCCCGCTAAGCACGACTTCCTTATTTTACACATCAAACCGACCTAAACCGCACTAAGCGGGCTTCAAAACATTGGTTTTACCAAATTTTCAAATGCAAGCAGCGCGCTACAAAATGCATTGAGTGCACTCGCGCTTAGCAGCCTCGGTGCGCTAAGCAGGCTCTCCTGGAGAGAACGTTCCGAAACTGGTCTTTTATTCTAAAAACGCGCATCCAGAGCCGTGCCTTCGACACTTTATTCCTCAATGCTCCAAAGTGTAACCAATACCTACAAAATGAATGGAAAAAACATCAAATGATACACTATATACACAAAAACATAAATAAACACAAACTAAATGTATTTACACAAAAGTCAAGTTTATACAACGATATTTACAATAAAAAGTAGATAAGTGCAACAAAAAGTATATATGAAAATAGCTACAATTTGAACTTATCAGTGACGTCATCAGTTTCTGGAATCATCACACTCTGACTTTGGAGAGATACAAAGTATGTGTTACAAGACATGTCAAGTTCTAGAATGCTTCTAAAAAACGGTTCTGATGAACGTTAGTCTAGAACATTTGACTGTGACTCTGATGGAAGAGCTTTTGAGGACCTTTCAAGCTCCAAGGTTATGAAGAGCAAGTTGTGAAGACTCTAAAGACAAGGTTCTGGTGAACAAATTCTAAAGACTCTGAAAACAAGGTTCTAAAGACTCTATGTTTTTAAGTTCTGAGGTTTTGAAGACCAAGCTCTGAAGACTCTGAAGACAAGGTTATGCTGACAAGTTCTGAAGACTCTAAAGACAAGGTTCTGAAGACTCTCATTCTGGTTTTAATCCTTCTAAGCATGCTTCATCAACACACATTTTGAAGCCTATGAATATTAGAAGATAATGTCAAAAATGTTTTGCGTGAATAAATAGTACATTGTACAAGATTAAATATTCCTCCCACAACTCTGATTTTGTGGCGCAAGGATAGTATTATGGTATGGTGTTGTCTACCATTCACACTGAATAATATGCAAGAATACTGTTGGAATTTGGAATTCCCATTCTACCCTCTAACAAATCTTTCTTTGACTATATAAAGAAGACTTGGAAGAATGGAAAAATAACTTTGCATCATTGAAAAGAAACTCTGCGCAAAATTCTTTGATACATAATTCTTTTGTAAAAAATTGTAAAGCAATGAACTTTTGTTCATTAACTTGCTAGAAACACTTTTGTGTTTATTATTGTATTTCAACTTGTGTAAATTAGCTTTCTTAGAAGCATCTTGTAAACACACTTTTTGTATCTCAACTTTTGAATTGATTGTTCCTTGAGAGACTAGGGTATAGTCGGAATTTTTCAAGAAGACATTGGTAGGTAGTCTTTGTGGATTGTAATCAGTTTGGTTATAGTGGATTAAGTCCTTGTTGAGAAAGGAAAAATCACCTTGGTTGGTGGACTGGATTATCTTCGTTAACAGTGAACCAGGATAAAAATAATTTTATTTATTTATTTTTGTTCTTGTTTCACCTTTGCTTGTATTGGTAGAAAAGTTTCAAATCTAGAAACTCAATTCAAACCCCCTTTCTTGTGTTTCATGTACCTTCACATAGTACACCTACTACAACGTCATGCTTGTCTACCTGATGCAAGGGACAAATGCCAGACACCGCCGCTTGAATGCCTGCGCCACTAACCTGCAACCATAAACTTTGTATTCCACATGTTGATTGTATTTGGCTCTGCATTGTTATGAAAAGGAAGAATAAGAGGGAAACATATTGACTCTTTTGGACCAGAATTCACAAATATCCAAAAGCTCATGATCTAAGACACTATAAAAGGACCTCTTGGAGGAAATACAGAGAAGTTCATCATTTTTAGAGAAAGGAACACTTCGTGAAAATCAGTGAAGAGAGTAAGTTGAACATAGTGGAGATCTTCTTCTTCTCATCATCTCTAGTGTATGCTACCCGTATCTGGTGTGAAAGAGTTTGTCTCTTTGTGATTAAATATTGCCAGAAGAAGAAGAAGAAGTTACTACTAGGTTTACTTTCTTTTCCATTATGTGTTTAAGAATGTTTAACTTGGGATCCAGTATTGATGTATGTACTAAGCTTATCATGAGTTAAACCCTTTTATGTTGAGCAATGTGAAGTTAATATGAAATAGTCGCTTGTGTTAAATATTGTGTTGTTAGTGCTTTGTTTTATCATGTGTTAAATTGTCATAAATTTATTTCTTTGAATGATAAACTTTGGAAAAGATACAAGCTTGTTGTTGTAAGAGATCCAACAACAAGTGAATTTCATTATAAAAGTGATTGAACATAATATGATTGAGATATTCACTAGATTAACTATTGTAGATATAAAGAGCTACAATCATAGAGGATATTCACAATAAAATCAGACATGCATTAAGTTAAAAGTGAGGCTTAGAGATTTGTCCACTTGATTTATTATATATGTTTATGATGTTGTAGAGATACGCCATAAGATTAGTTTCTGACCTCTTCTCACACGACATAACACATCATATACACACAATTGACAAGTTATATTAACGGGTCATTATCCAACAAGGTTGTTCGATGAATAACGGAAACAAGGTTGGCTGCTTACTTCAGTTCATGAACAAATAAACATATCTTGCATCGTGATTCTGCTACTCAGATATACCAAAGAGCCAAAGAAACCTAAATTTGTGAGAGTTGGTAGGTAACGGATCAATCTAAAAAGATGTGTGAAGAAATTAGCCTTTGAACCAATATATCTAATGCTTCTTTCATCCACCAATGTTGACAAACTTCTCTGGCTTCACCAACACTCATCTAATAATACAAAATATTACAAAGAGAAAATTAGAGAAAATTTTAAAACATGCAAAATCTTCAATTAATTAATTATACAACATGCAAATTAAATAAATAATTGAGTATAAACATACCCATACTCTTGTCCTAACATTTTTCTCAGGCCAATGATCAAGTTGCTCCTTCACAAACAAAGGGAACATGTACCCTTCATAGTATATTCCATATCTTTTGCTAATGAAATTCCACTGTCCCAGTTCACACTGTCATACAAAATGAAAAATTTATTAATTTCAGTTTCATTGTAAGTTAATTAGCTAAACATTTTCATAATTAACAAGTATATAAATATCAAATTAATTAGTATACCTCAACTAATCCTATGACACCTGCTTCTTCAAGGGATTCCCTACAAGCTGCTTCTTCTAGAGATTCATCAAGTTCCCATCCTCCTTTAGGAAACATTAGTCTTTGACTTTTCTGTGAACTAATCATTAGTACTTCCAATTGGTTGCTTCCATTACCATCTATGTCTTGTTTATATCTATAAGGTATGCATCTGTAAAAACATTATTATAATAATTAGTCAATAAGTATACTTATTTTGAATGAATACTGTATATATATTTCACCTACCAGATTTTATTAAAATATGATAAAATATGTATACTCACCCAACAACTTGTCTGCCACCCATGTTGTTGTATCTCTGCAACTCCCTTCCAGATCGAGATACCATACAAACCATCTTTTAAAGAGTTAATTAACAACCAGAGAAATTAAGAATGTAGAAAAAGGATGATGAAGTAGGTTTTTAGTACTGAGGATTGAAGTTTATATAAGAAGATAAAGTTAAGATATATTTTTAGAATATAATATAATTAAGAATGAAAGGTGGATAGAAAGAGTGGCCAAGAAAGAAGATATATCCAGAGAAACGTATTATCTTCGTTTATAATAAGTGTTTTATTTGAGTTTTATTTAATTTAAAAAAAAAATTAAACATATTAATTTTATTGATAATTAATATTATTTATTAAAATATCTTTATTTATTATAATTAATAGAATAATTGAAAAACATAAAAATAAATAAATAAGAGTATAATAGTAAAAAAATAATAAATATTATAATAATATTTTAAACAAAAATTTTATTTTGAAACATGAAAAAGTACGAATGACACTGTTATTATGAAAAAGAAGAGAGTAATACATTTCAAACCGTGTTATTGTCTAGTTTCTATCACATGAGAATAATATAAAAAAAATGCAAATATGTTACTAGTAGTATTCTAAAATGAATGAATTATTTTAATTTTTAATATATATTTTTTCAATTCTATTCTTTAATTAATTAAATTTTTATCATTTTCAACACAATTTAGAATATTATAATAAAAATATCATTTTCACTCTTACTTTTCAACATTTCTCTTAATATATGGATTGAATCACTTGTCATACGATAGAGACAGTATTATATTGATTGTGGAATATATAATCTATCAACTATAAAATAATGAAATGATGTTTAGATCGAGGCTTCTTTGTCGATTCGTCGATATACACTACAAAAATATATGTCCCCAGCGACATATATTAGCGACGTGCTTATCACGTGGCTAGTAGCGACGTGATAACCACGTCGCTAATATATTTTAATGACATTTAATGGAAACTGGTGAACGTTTTTGGGTGGGAAGTTTGAAATTTTGTAGCGACGTGATAGCCACGTCGCTAAATTTTTGGGGGGAAAAATAATTTCGCTGCGCAGTGTTGGACAGAGAATAGTATTTATGATTGCATTGTAGCGACGTGATTATCACGTGGCAACGTTGCGACGTGACAGTCACGTCGCTACTAGAAGTTACATATGTTAACGTTTTGATTTACAGTAGCGTGCTTCTTCTTCTTCGCCTTTGCTTGCAACTCTCACAAACTCAAACATTACAGCAACTCTCACAAACTCAAACCCAATTTTGCGAATTAATTTTCTTCCATTCCAATTTGTTGAAGAAATCTAAGGTATGCATATGTTTATTTCGTTTGTTCTTTAGTTTTTATACTGGAATGAAGTATTTAATTAACATGGTATTTGTTCGATTGTTCGTTATTATTTGTAGAGAAATTTGAAGAACACCAAGAACTAGAAGACGCAAATTTATTGAAGAAATTATATAGAGGTATTTATGCATTTTTTTTTAGATTTTATATGTATTATATAGATTAGATTTGTATATGTATTTTGTGGTTAGGAATATATGTATATACTGTTAGTAGTATAAAATTACTGATAATAAAAAAAATTTTAAAAACATATTTAATAACATATTTAATATATTTTTTGCATATGTAATTTGTATATGTAATTTGCATATTTTTTGCATATGTGATTTATATATTTTTTAGTAGTATATGTGTATATGTAATTTGCATATTTTTTAATAACATATAGATGTATATTGTATTTATTATAATAGTTTTATTTTTTTATTTATATGTTAAAGATATGGAAAAAAAATTATATATTAGAATAACAATTTATAAAAAACATATTTAAAAAAAGAATATATATATTATATTATTATTTTAATATTATTGTTATATATATAATAATAAATAGTATGTATCTTACATTATTTGTTTTCTAATATTATTGTTGTATATATAATAAAAAGTAAATATGTTATATTATTGTTTTTTGATATTATTGTTATGTAATAAAAAATTATATATTTTACATTTGAATATTTATTTATATGTTAGTATATATATAAAAAAGCAAAATTTATATTTCTAAGAATAGTATTAAATAGTTTAAGAATATTTCTAATGAAAAAGACAATGATTGTATAAATGTGCAGTATGGAATATTATCGGTATTATCGCAGTTGGATGTACGATAGAACATATCCAGGAAGAAGTGGACTTAAACCCAATTTTATAGTAGGAGTTGATGGGTTTATTAAGTGGGCGTTTGCTCAGGATTGTTGTCGAAGCGAAGGAGGGGTTAGATGTCCCTGTCTTAAGTGTGAATGTAGACCAATAATTAGTGACCCAGAGGAAGTAACACGTCATCTGCATAGAAGGGGATTCATTGAAAATTATTGGGTTTGGACGTATAATGGTGAAGAACTACCGGTTAATGTACCAGAGACTAGCAACACGCATGCTTCAAGTAGTCGACCGGTTATGGAGTATGAGGAGAACTTTAATTTGATCGGTGACATGGTTGAGGATGCTTTTGGTGTGAACGTGACATATGATGAACCTGAAGATTTTGACGGGGAAGAGTTGCTGAATGAGGAAGCGCAAAGATTTTATCAATTATTGAACGAGATGAATACGCCGTTGTTTGAGGGGTCGTCAGACTCGAAGCTATCAATGTGTGTGAGATTATTGGCTGCCAAGTCAAATTGGAATGTTTCTGATCAATGTTTGGAACATTTTGCAAAAATGATGTTGGACTCCACCGCTACGAAAGACAATTTGCCTACAAGTTATTATGACGCAAAGAAGTGGGTGTCGAAGTTGGGTTTAAAAGTAAGAAAGATTGATTGTTGCATTAACGGTTGCATGTTGTTTTATGACAATGAGTTTGGTACTCAAGATGGATCGTTAGAGGAGTGTAAGTTTTGTAATAGTCCAAGATATCAAGTTCGCAGTAGAGCCGTTAACAGCAAGCAAAACCGTGTAGCAGTAAAATCCATGTTTTATCTTCCTATAATACCAAGGTTAAAAAGAATGTTTGCTTCAATGCACAGTGCAAGTCAAATGACATGGAATCATACAAACCAAACAAGTTCTGGCACTATGCGACATCCATCTGATGGTGAGGCATGGAAGCACTTTGATCGGACACATCCAGATTTTGCTGCCGAACCTAGAAATGTCAGGCTTGGATTATGCTCTGATGGATTTGCCCCATACGTGCAAGCGTCAGGAAGTGCGTACTCTTGTTGGCCAGTTATTGTAACACCTTACAACCTCCCTCCTGAGATGTGCATGACAAAACCATACATGTTTTTGACGTGTGTTATTCCAGGCCCGCACAGTCCAAAAGCCGGAATTGATGTGTACTTACAACCTTTAATTGATGATTTGAAGAAGATGTGGATTGGAGAATGGACTTATGATATATCCCGTAAACAGAACTTCACATTACGAGCTGCCTTGATGTGGACCGTTAATGACTTTCCAGCATATGGCATGTTGTCTGGTTGGGGTACGCATGGAAAAATGGGTTGTCCGTATTGCATGTGCCCACCCCCTCAGAGTCAGGTTGATCATATGTCCCTGGCCAGTACTCAGGGTTTTGTCCCATTACTCTCCTCCCATACATTCCCGTCTGGGGTACCTGCATCTTTTGTGCCACCTGGAGGCCCCGGTTTCCTTTTCCCACAGACTCAGATGCCGTCTTCCTTCCAGCATGCAGCAGGATCTAGTTTCCCTTTCCCACCGACCCAGATGCCGTCATCCTTCCAGCAGGCGGGAGGATCTAGTGTTCCTTTCCCACAGACTCAGATGCCATCTTCCTTCCAGCATGCGGGAGGATCTAGTTTCCCTTTCCCACCGACCCAGGTGCCTTCATCTTTCCAGCAGACTAGTGTCCCCTCATCATTCCAGCAGACAGGGGGAGGACCCAGTTTTCCATTTATACAGACTGGCGTGCCTTCATCATTCCAGCAGACAGGGGGACCTACACAGATGTATTCATCCTTCCAGCAGGCGGGAGGGTCCAGCACCCCACACTCCACACACATTGGAGGACCCAGCAGTCCACGTCCGGCACAGGCTGCAGGATCCCGCGCCCCACGTCCTAGACGGACCGGAGGGTCACGCACCCCTCATCCCACACAGGCTGCAGGATCCAGCACCCCACGTCCTACACAGGCTGGCGGTGATGCAGATGTCGTAGCTGATGATATAGATGGAGCTGATAGTCGTGAGAGATCAGATGATCCGAGTGAGATTCATGTAATTGACGGGAGGTTTTGGATTTGGCCCGAAGGAAGCAAGTAAGTTTCTTATATAAACTTTTATTTAAGTACATATTCATTTTAATATTTTGTATAAATTTATAATTAATATTGTTTATTCAAAATCTTGTTGTTTAGTTTCGCGCCGAGTCGGACGGCTGCCAAGGTTATTAATTATATAATCCAGCAGATGTATAAATCCTCTTGGAAGAACTTTGGCGAGGTTACAAATAAAGAAGAATGGTTTAAAAAATTTAAGGTATTGTTATTTATTTAAGTTGTAAATTTATTATATTTTTTTAGTATTGTTATTTAAGTCACATTTTAATGATAATTGCTTAACTTTTTATTTTAATGTCATACAACATTGCAGGAAAAATGTGTGTGGGATCCGTTGAATGAGAAAATAATGGAAAAAATATATTATAGCAGAACTTCTAGAAGATTTTCTGATATCATGCGGCGGGTTAGGGAGAATTATGAGCTGCATGGTATCCGTCCTAACTGGATAGGCATAGCGGTTTTTGGCGAACTTCGTACATATTGGAGTTCGCCAGAATTCAAGGCCAAATCGGAAAATTTTAAGAAGATGAGGGCATCCGAAAAGGGGGGATGTGTCAATACTGTTGGAAGTATTAGCACTGCAGAGCATGTCCGGCGGATGGTAAATATTACTAATTTTTTAAGTTATATATATTTTTATTCATAATATTTTTTACTAATTATTTTTAACTTTATTGTTTAGACTAAGGAGATGGGGAGACCAC